CATTTGATTCAATATTTAATGCTGTCAAATACATTAAAAATAAAGGAAAGCAAAAAATGCAGCTGAGAGCTTGGAAGTGGGAGAAAATCTACTATAAGTAGATCTAGGCATTAAAAGAAAACTCAGAAAATGTATTCTAGAAATAAGAAGCTACAAAGTTTTCAACAGAAATGCTGTGTGGTCTTTTTCCGAATAGCAGCAAAAAAACATTTTTGAAGATTACTGTTAAGGCTACAAAGCAGCATTTCAGCAGAACAGAAACAGCAAGTTTGAAGAGGTGGAAATTTCATTACATTAGCATTTCCAGAGGCACATTAAGTAGATTGAATACAGAAAATATTAAAAATACACCTCTCAGTCATAAAAAAGTTACCACTCACAGCAGGAACCAAAGGAGACACAACTACCTCATTATGTATGAGCAATGTGTTCTGTATAAGTCCCACAAACTGATGGCACAGAAGGAACTGAAAAGATGACAGACCCTATTTATAGAATGGTTTAGTGCCATAGAATCTTCTCCATGTAATTGTGTTCTGTTTCTACACACTCACAAAATGTGCATTCTTCACTTAAATTACCAGTTGAATTACCATTATTATTTTTACGTTTATCTTAAAGAAGCATTTCTGGAGCATCACAGAAGATTATAAGAGGTTGGGATTTGACCATGTAGGAATTCACAAAGATCAGCAAATCATCTTCGTGACCTTTAAGATTCCTTATGTCCCACACTATGAGAAAACACACTTGACAGCTAGATTTAGTTTCACATTTCATAGGTCATAAGCAGTTGCTCTGCAACTGGAAAGAATTTTGCCAAATCATTGTTCAGACCTTTAAAATTGCTTGTGTGGTGTGATTGGTACTTTGTAAACACCATTGGTATTGAAAATACGAAGATGACCAAAAAAAATTGTAGAATAAAAAAACATTCACAACCTTTCATTCCAGTAACATCTATGCTATTTCTTATTTATGACAGTGCAGACAGAAAGGTATTTCAGCAGCAAATAATATATTAATCTGCTGAACTATTGGTTTTAATTTCTTCAGAAAACCTTTTTTTTTTTTTTTTTCTAATCAACTTTTCCACATTAAAATGCAAAAGAAAAAATGTGTGCATGGATGATTTCTTTTTCTTGTTAGCAACTTGCTCTACCCAGAGTGCACAGAGTAAAGGTACTTCATCTATGCAGGAACTCAATACTGTGAAGCTACCTCTGCTCACTGCCCATGAACAGCAGCAACCCTGCCTGATTTCCAACAGGAGCAGAAGAAGATGCTGACATAGAGTAAACTGCTATAACGGCCACTCTAGCAGGTAAAGTCACTTAGGAATTATCATTTGCAGTACTCTGGGCCTTTCTGTTCCTTTCTGTTCCTCCTCTTTATTCATAGAAATAGCTTCAGGACATACCAACCTTTGAAGCAACTGAAATCAGAGAGCAGTTTCTTAAGAATAAATAAATAAATTACAGGCCAAAAAAATGGGTCTAGGATTAATTCGACCTTAATATTTTCAAATGTATTATAAACCATTACACTTAATCCTCAGAAAACTATTTTGATTATATAAAATCCTCCCTAAGGAAACAATCAGTAATTTAAATATTAAGCACTTTAATGAATTTTTACAATCATACTTACTGAAAAAACAGCAGCCACAGTCTCAGTAGCACCAGTGCTTAGAGTAACATACGGGATTGTTTCTTGGTTAATCCCCGATTCACTGAAGATGCTGTTTGTGTAGTACCAGATCTGTAACAGTAAGAAGTGAATGTTTTATTAACCATTAGGGTTTAAACCACAAAACACCAGCATTCAGCTTAAGCGTCTAGTCTGCAAAGACCAGACTCATTCAAATACTGAATGACTAAGGGCAGGAAGACAAATGAAGGTATGAATTTGGGGAGGATTTGTCCTGACACTAAGTTATACCTCTGCTTGCTCAGAATTACAAGCAGCTTTAACTTTGTTTAGCTTAATTCACTTTGGAAGGAAACTGAAGAAACTCACTTTAAGCTTGAACAACAGGATACAAACACAATTTTCAGGTGGCTTAGCCACACTACTTAAAAGCATGTTTGGGTGGCTTTATGAAATATTTCACTGACAAGTAAGAGTAGATACAAAAGCTGAAGGGAAATGCACATTCTTAGAGGCATTGCAGAAATCATACCTATTCAATCACAAAGTGAGAGATTTATCTCACTTGATGGACATTACATCCAAGTCATCGCCCTAATCTCTCCATTTTCAACAGTGAGAAAAGATCATTTTAGAGCAACAGTGTTTTCATCAAAAGGAAACGAATGTTTTAGGATGCACTGAATCACAGGCAAGAGAACCTGCCAAAGAGCTAGCCAAAAACTTCAGCTGCTAATAGCATGCAACTAGAAGAGGGAGATTTGGAAAGAGAAAAAGATGGTTGATTTTATTGAGAAGGTGCAAAACAATTGGAATAACTAATTATCAGAGAAAAATACAGTACTAAAACACAGCAGATTACTTTTGACAACAAAAATGAAAGTCAGAGATAACACATGACCCTAAACAGGTAAGTAGCAGTGATTTTTTTTTCCCTGTATACTGTCCGCACAACAAACCCTAAAAGGACAAGCACTGCTCAAGAAAAGGCTCCTCTGATGACAGAGGGTGTTTTGAACGCGAGAGCAAAACCCTGCTATCTGCCAGCAGATTAGGCACTTGCTACATCTGTTCATCAAGCTACTAACACAAGGGCTTTCTTAAAAAACAAACAAACAAAAAAACCCATAAAACCTATTTATCCCAGACCAAAGGAGAAAATCTTACATGAAACAAAAGTAACAAAATACCAAGAATTATAAAGCTACCTATTTCACTTTACAACTAGGGAGAAACTGACTTACGAGTTTTGCACCTATGGCTCACAGTTCAGCACTTGCCTGAAGAGATGCAGAGACAATAAGTGGTAACAGCAATTTTCTCTGTATGAAGCAAATTGTATTTGTGTAATGTGTGGTGGTATTGACTGTGCGTTTTATTGGTGTCCTGGCACAGAGCGGAGTGAAAATCAAGAGTCAATTCACTTGGAAATATTTATGAGCAATAATCATATTTTTGGGGCCCAATACTCTGTCATCCTACTCACCAGCCTCCTTCATCCCCAGTAAAGAAAATCAAGGTAACAAAACCACAACAAAAGATTTTTTTCTTTTTCTTTTTAAATTGTACAACTAATTTTCACAAAGACTTTGGAAAAAAAGTCATGTGTTAGAATTTGGAAACCATGCAGCTTTGACATTTCACTCTTGATAATCAGTATTGCATAGCAGGTAGAGATTCTAAAAAATGGGGGGGATATTGTAAATATCCTAATCCTGAAAAAGAACAAAATTAAAGAAGCTAAGCAGTCACCCAAGCAGACAACACCTGCTTGAATACATTTGCCAAACCATAGCAACTAGGCCATAAAAAGTGATTTTACAGAAGAGAATGAGGGACCATTAGCATAAGAGCAGTGAAAAAACAGCTAGATTAATAAAAATGTCATATCAAAGGCAGGATGAGATTCAGTGAGTTATTAACCTCTATAACATCATAAAAATAAATTATGGTAAAAATTAACATGCAGGCACACATTTTAAAAGCAATAAAGGTAAAAGTTTTTCAATCTATGCATCCTTTGCCATGGAAATACATTGCACTAGCATATTACTGAGAGAAGCACTACTCACTAGGTTAATAATGACTACTCCATTTTCATTCAAGCAACTTTTCTAACAAGTCCCTTGTTAGGGCCTGGGCTAAAAATTCATGAACTGGAAAAGGAGGGAATATGCGGCAGAAGGTTCAAACCCTCAGAAACAGCCATTGTTTTATCCAAAGCATTATAGGGCCATCAATTTTTTTTCATCCATGGTGGGTTTCTGTGTCTCTTCTACAGAAGGAAACAAAATTTTATATCATCATGTTACTCATTTAAGCAGCTGCCAAAGGCAAAGGCTATATCAGCTTGATACAACTCCGATACCATTTTGAACTTTATGAACTTGAAGACAACATTTTAGCATTTGGGTCCCTAGCTAACTGCATCAAATTTAAACTTTCTTATCATAAGCTTTTACATTTATAATCTTTTCACTTAAACTGGCATGTGCTAAATGCCATCAGTCATGTTTCCAAACTTTTCACATCAGGTACACCTCAGAAAATTGACTCAGTTTTCTGGTCTTTTTATTTCTCATTCAGCTTTTATACACATTCTTTCCCAAAATTTTCAACTTTTTTCCCTTCAGTGGGGAAAGAAGGAAGGCAAGAAAAAAAAAAAGAAAAAAGAAAGAAACCAACACAAATTTACACTGCTGCCCCTTCTGTCCTCATCCGTTCCCATGCAATCTGGGGCCAAGCAAGCCTGAGGAGCACTCTGTGGTAGCACTACCATTCTCTGCTCTACACAGAGCATACTGCTCTATGCGTTCCCCTTCCCTAGGGTAATTTCCTTCTATTTGAAATATAGCTCCCTGGCTTAAGCCTACATCCCACGGAAATCAAGGGATCCCACTTTGGAAAGGGCTGTGTTAAAGCAGTGTGCAGTACAGCACATTTCTTTGTATGAACAACATAAAGTGCAACAATAAGGGCTTTGTGCCCTTTCTAGAACTGAAGGTAAATAGAAATAGTGGTGAAAGTAAATCCATCTATTTTGGATAACAGGCATCACAAAAAAAATCTTAGTCTGATACATATTCATTTATGTTAATTAAAGTCAGAATGCTGGGATTTCATCATAATTGAATATATTAGTGTGTTTTGAAACTTGATGATTTTTATTATAAAGTAAAATCTTAAAAGGAAATAAGTATTCTGAGATACCAGCAGGTTGATTACAGAAGTCCACCATTTGGTGGTTTTCCCTGCGAGTCATTTGAGACTCTTGCCTGACAGAAGTCCAACTTTCCCATATGCCTAGCCCAGATGGCAGCTGTTGAAAAGACCAGACTGACTAACAGGGCACCACAGACAAAGTAAGTAAGAGTTATGAGATACAAATTTGCTGCTAGTTGATGGATGCTTTCTCACACCCAGCAGGTTACCGCAGGTGCAGCCACCAAACCAAGAACTGGGTTTGGCACTATCTGAAATATCTGTATTGGCATTGATAGCTTCAGGTAACTTCATCAAGATCAATCAGGGAAGCCAAGGGCAAGAGACAAGCAAGGGACACCTGATCTCTTAAGTGGTCCAGCTATTTCTCTTAACCTCTATAATCGTTTGTTTTTCTGGCTTAAACTATTTAAACTCTCCATTCCATTTATTTTGTGTGAAAATTATTTTTGTATTTAGTATAGTACATAAAAAGTTATAACAATAAAAACTGCATAAAGTAGCAATAATAACAACAATTATTAAGGTAAGGCTTGAAACAGCTAGCACTATTCCTGTGCACTGACGAAGATAGCTTTTCTGAGGTGTGTTTTCAGAGAAGGAATCTCCTAATTGTTCTTTAAAACAGCTTTTGCTTTCAGGTTAGATACATCTGGACATGTCCAAGTACCCCCAGCTATACATGCCCTCAAGTTGTGAGAATGTTTTTACTCTGCCATGGACAATCTCTGCCATTTGTTAAATACCCTGAAAGCTACAATTCTCTTCTTTTACCCCTGAAAATGTACCTGTGTTGTTGTTTTATTTTTCTTTAGGAAATGTACTTCATAATCTTAACAGCCTGTTTCTTGCTATTAGTGTCATTTTATTTCACATATGCATTAATAAATTGTTAGAAAGACTGGATGACAAGATAATTCCATTTCTTTTCTTGAAAAAGTATCCTTAGTGAGGAACAAAATAGCCTATTATTAGCATCAAAATCCTACAATTAGGAGAAAACACTCTACAAGTGTTTTTATAGTTCAGCCTACAGTGTGAAAATTCTTTTAGCTCTCTCCTAGTGTGTCAGTTAAAACTTTTTCATACTTGAGTTCTCATCATTTAACCTCTCATGGGGTCTGGGAGCAATTACTCCGCATTGAGTTCTCACACTATATCCACAGATACCCAAGACACATAAGCTAGCTAGTCCCAAGGTATCAGGAACATTTTCACTCATCAGTGCTGATTAGCACTGTGGGAATAAACTGCTTCAAGTATGTGGTAATGCACAAAGCCACTGTGAGAAGCAGCATTGGCCAACATCCTTTCAGCAGCTGTAATAGTGTCCTTTCATATGTCCCAGATATTAACTGGTCTGATACATCAGTAAAAGAGAAATACTGGAAATTATGCCTAGATATTGAACAGAAGAGTCACACTTGAATCCATCACTTCTGGAGTCCATAATTTGTCATGGACTTCAAACTGAAGCTAAACAAATAAACAAAGAGGAAAGTTCTCCATCCTCTCCCGGCTCTTCCTGTGGTCCCTCAGGAACATTGATTGGTCACATCATGAGCCAACTGCAAGTGACCCCCAGTCCAAGCCATCTCTGTCTCACTGCAACTCTCCTTTTCCTACCAATTTATTTAAGCAGAAGATGGAAAAAGGAAAAATAACAGATACCTTATCCCAGAATATGCCACAACGTGAAGGGGGCACTTACAGCATTTAGCCCGCAGAGCTGGTAGCAGCCCATGGTGACGACCACAGTAAGGACCTGCCAGCGCACGGCCCGGGTTCTCAGCAGCTGAAGCACCGACACCAACTTGGTGTTTCTTTGGACTCGACTCTCTGACAAAACTTCTTCTACTTCACGAGATACGTCCTCTTTCCCAAGGAAGGTCTGAAATGCTGCAAACAGAGGACATGCACTTTAGGTCAATGCACCTATCACTATGTGCATTAATAAGAGGTTTCTATAAAGAACCTGGACTGCGCAAAAATCAGAAATTAGGCCTGGGTTATAACTTAATCATACTGTTGATGTAGAGAAAGAAGAATAATTATAGTTTGAGCATGATCTGGCTTATCCCTGTATTCAATCTCAGAAACTGCAAAAAAAACCAAATTCTTTAGCACCCCACCAGTCCCTCTCCTTATATTAATTCACATTTAATATAGTCTAGGGTATAGTGTAAGGTTAAAACACTGTATAAACTGGAAAGAAAAAAAAAAGCAGTTTCTGAACATCACTTGACTTTGGTTGCTACTTTTGCAACCAAATCAATGTATCTGGATTTGTTGCTGAAGAGAGATTGGACAGAAAAGTAAATATATATACATATATATATATATAAAATATACAAGTCTGATAAACATTGGTTTACATTGTTAAGCAGGCATTTGAAAGGGATAGTTATTACTTTTCAAAATATCTCCTGTTTTCACAAGCATAAAATCCAGAACTCACTTCAATATATTTAAACATTATGAAGAATTACATAGAGCAGTTCAAGCCTTCCTACTCGTCAACACTGGAGATATGGTAGTTTCTTTACTTGGCAAAGATCAGCAAACAAACAAAACACTCCACAGAAAACGTAATGTTAGGGATTATGTCATTGCGTGCCAGTGATTTACTGTCCTAGCTTTCCACTGTGAATAATAAATCTTTCCAGCTCACACACTACCCCAAAGGTATCCTAATGGAGGTGGTCTATTCCCATCTACTTCCAGCCTTACAAACTTGTTTTATAGCTGTGGTTAAGCTGAAGATATTTTCATCACAAACTTGTGAACATACCTTGGGAGTTGCTTTTTTCAAGAGATATTTAAAGTGTTCATCTTCTTGGAGTGATTGCAGAGAAACAATTACATTACCCATGCCCCTGCAGCCAGGCTCTCTAACCCAGCAGGATGCTAACTCCAAAAATGATCCCTTACATGGCAGGCTACTTAAAATTACTCCTCATACTTATTTTTTTAAAAAGTGATTAAGCTGATTTAGTTCTTCTAAAACCCACATCCACTTTTAATCTATCTGCAGCTTTACCTAGTACTGCCTATAAATACTTCATATTAATATTTTAGAATACAATAATCACTCTTCTGGATCACAGAAAAGACCTGGATGATAACAAAGCCAGAGACACTGACCAGTCATGATTAAAATGCCAAGACTTCATTTAAGTTTTGAAGTTACTGAATTTTAACTTTACCCAGTATCTAAAAAGGCCAAGTGGTGGCATTTCAATGTCCTGAGGGAGAGGTCACACAAATCAAACGGGCGGACTCGCAGGAGCATCTCAATCCTTTCCTCTCGTGAACGTGCAATACGGCACCGTCTGCCTGGCTTCCAGCTCAGGAGCCAGCAAACCTGAGCTCCCAGCCAAGACTTTTAGACACAGTTAGCACCTCTACTGCATTTTAATAACCCTTACATGATCCTCTCTAAAAAGAGGAATGGTTTTTAGGGAAGAACACTCATCACCTCTGGATACTGGAGTCAGTTAATAATATTAATTTCTTCTGAAATTCAGTTTATACCATGCTAGAAGACAGGTCAGAATTTTTAAATCCCTCTGGAAAACATATGAGATCTATCTTTTCCTCTAGGCCTTATAATCAGGAATGGATTAAAAAAATCTGACATTGCAATCCAGAATTTAACCTGCTGAGTTTTGTCCTTGTGCTACAGTCCACTTATTATTAAATAACATACCAAATGCTTGCTAAAATTAGTATGATGTATTTAAAGGCCACGTGATGTAAAATGAGAATCATATAGCTATACAGTGTGTTACAGTATGTCTCACACTTATAATACACTCATTAGTATTATTAGAACATTAATAATGAAAAAATCTCATAAAGATAAGAACATATACTAAAATATTCTACTTTTAAAAGGCTCTCATAGATATTTAAGCATCTGTTTATCAGTGTAAATTAGGTCAGTGCACAATTTTCTTTATTTCCCCTGCCCTTAGAATCCTCGGCAGTCCTGTAGGGCACGCAAGCCAAAAATATAGGTGCAGTCAAGTAAAAAGAAAGCAATCTGTCTTTTCTGCACAAGGGAGCTTGCTACATTTCTAGAGGGACTGGGAAGTGAAAAACAAAACAAAAAAAGAAAACCACACCACACAGAAAAATACAAAAATTTAGCAAGTACAAGGCAAAAAAAAAAAGTATCTCTTTTATTCTTTTACTTACCTTCCTTGTATTAGAATCTTGGGTGTAAGTGTCAATATAAAAAATTTGACAGATACTTGAATTATCAACAGGTCAAGAAATGCTATCATGATGTTATGCTATGCATGCATAGTTTTGAGTAGGCAACACTAAGTCTGTTGGAAGTATTTTCCTGCTATTCAACATATCCTCTATGTTTCTTTTACTAACAGTTTTTCCAATGCAGTAAGAGTTATAACCTTAAACATAACTAATGTGGAAATAAATTCTGCATTAGCAAGGAGATGGAAAAACTAAAATGTCTTTTTAATTTGTGATGTTCGATTCTATTCATTTTAGATTTTAACGTCTGCGTTATTGGCACCCAGCATCACAGAAGTCCTTGCTATCTGTATTGCAATGTCTCTTTTCCCTCTGCAATCAGTTGCCTCTCTTTATAGAAAGGTCTTATTTTCATGCCTCTGTCCTGATGACACATAAAACCAACCAGAGTCCCAATCCTGGCAACTTTTAGATCTTTTCCCAGGTTTCCCTTTGATTCGCTTCAAGCAGAAGGTCCTAGATACTCCACTTTCAAAGGCTCAGACGCTGCCTTTATATAAAGCAAAAGAAGTGGACAGTTTCAGTCAAGGGGAAAGCAGAGAGAGAACCTTTCCATTTAGACTGCTGGCTTTTCCTCATCTTGGCTAAGCAGAGGTGAAACATTTCAAAGTAGTTCAGAGCTCTGGATGAAATCTATCCGTCCTGTCTCTAAAACCAGCCAGGCCTTTAAATTAACTTCAGTTGGACGCAAAACTCAACCATGCGTGGAATTACTAATTCTTTTTATACTGTAGTGCTTCCAGGGCTGTGTAAGAAAGCTTTTTATTTATTTTATTTATTATTTTATTAAAGATTGAATTAGCATGTAAATTTGGAGAAGACATTTAAGGAGACTGTCACTGTGTGGTTAGGATAGGATCAGGCCCAGATAAGAAGAGTCAGGTGCAGGAGAACAGTCACAAACAATAGTTTGGATAATGTGATTATGCCTTTAAGCATAAAAATAAAAAAGGGGATATGAGTAGCACTGCTGTCTGCTTCCCATGGATCTGTCGGCTTTCAGTTCACTGATACCAATATATATTCAGCCCAGTGTCTTTAGCAATAAACTTTTTTTAAGTTCTCCCTAAACACTCTTTGGACGTGAGGAGAATGGTGCTGGCCTCTTTTCACTGGTGGCTACCGACAGAACTAGAGGTAATGGCCACAAACTGAAGCACCAAAAGTTCCACAGGAACTTAAGGAAAAATTTCTTTACTGTGAGGGTGACAGAGCACTGGAACAGGCTGCCCGGAGAGGTTGTGGAGTCTCCTTCTCTGGAGATCTTCCAAACCCGCTTGGACGCAGTCCTGTGCCACGTGCTGTAGGTGACCCTGCGTGTGCAGGGGGGTTGGACTAGATGACCTCTAGAGGTCCCTTCCAACCTTAAGCATTCTATGGTGCTATGATTCCCAAAGACAGACCTCTGGGCCAGATGAACCACTGGTGTGAGGCCGTGCAGCCTCCTTCCTCATTAATGCTGGTTTCTACAGCACACAGGGTGCCTCGCTCTTTGCTTCATCAATTGCAAATGCTATCCAGCTTCACTGTGTTTTAATCAGATGCATGATAAGTTGTCTGTAATAGATATATCTCTGCATAAGAATATTTGGAAAAAAAAATCCACTGTATCAGTGAATAGCCAGAAGAATAATTTGGCTGAATCTTGACAGAAGAGATTTACAGAGTCATTAAAATATAGCAAAATAAACCTCAAAATTATTGTCATTGAGTAAATACAACAGCAGTTAGATAAACGAACCATTTAGTCTTTTCCCAAGCTTCAGTCCCTTGGTCCTTATAAAATACACAGATCTGTGAGTGATCATTCAATTTAGGATTGTATCTTTACTTATTTTTATCTCTGATCTCTCAGACCATGAATACAAAAGAAGTCTGTTCAGCCTACTTGAGAATAGATATATTTGTAAAATAAAGTATCCACATCACCCTAGGTTAACCATAATTTAACCCTAAATATTGGTAAACCAAATTAGATCAAGCATCAAGTGGATCAAGCTTCCTTTTGGAAGAAGAGGAGGCTTAGGAAAAGCTTATAAAAAAGGCAAATATCATCATGCCGTCATTGCAGCTTCTGGCAGGCAGGAACCATCTGAGCTGGAGGCTCTGCCATAAGCTGGCAGGTTTAGTAGCCATGACTGCACTTCCACTCCACTAACTCTAGCTTATCACACTTACAGACACACAAAAGGCACAAATAAAAAGTGATATACACTCTTGGTATCCACAAGAGCAACTCTATTTACAACAATTGTTCCTGCAGTAAATCTGGTTTAATCTCTCTCCTGTTCACACAGTCCCCATGCAGGATTTCTCTATAATTTAAAAAAAAAAAAAAAAGCAAACACAGAAATGTTTTTTTCTCTAGAAAACTTCTGTATCGTATCAAATGGTAGCAAGTGAAATCCATCTTTCTAAAATTAAAAAAACTACACTTCATGCTGTAACTGATGAACTGCTTCTTTCATAGCCACAGGAATTTTAATGAATGGCTGAACACACTAGTTGATAAGATTTTGCACATTAACAGCAGATTCAATTCGGACAATCCAAGTTACTTAACCCTTAAAATCCTTTATTAGTTAAAGCCATTGTGCTCTATGACACCAATGCCAAAAATGAGAATGAGGGCACTTGTTTGTAGGTTGCTAGAGTCTGGTTTACTGATGGGGACAAAGAAAGGGATGAAAGCAAGAGCCGAGCTTTGTGAAAACTCAATGACCTACATTATCCTATTGGATTTTCCTTACTCTAAAATTATTAGGAAGATTACCTTCATCCTCCCCATTTTAAAAGGTTTGAGATACGAGCACATTTCAGAGTAATTTATAAAGACTAATGCAGTCATCTGCCTTAAATGCAGCAGACCTTTTACAGATAACGGTTTTAAACTTCTCCAGCAAGATATAATCCACAGTGAAATGTATGACATTTGCATGAATAGCCTTGATCTCTTTGGGGAAAGAAAAAGCATTTAATCACAAGACTTACATATTTCTGACATTAATATGCAGATCTAACCTAAAGAGGCAAATAATTCAAGACCATTACTGTTGTCATCATTAAAATGGGGAATTGTCAGTGCTGGTTTATGAGCAGTAGGTTTTCTAATAATCCACAAATTCCCCTGGTCTCCCTAATACTCTTGCTTTTCCTGATCCACCTCCCCACATAATATGGGCATTTTTTTAAATTTATTTATTGTTGATCCACAGTTGGCCACTCTCTTCTTGCTTGCTTTCTCTATGTCATGACATTAAATCCCAACCACCTGAGACTTGACTCTTGTATAAGCCTGGATTTCACCATTTGCCCTGACATGCCAGTGCAGGGTTCTGAACTCCCATGACTGGGTTAACGGCACAGTTCTCCTCTCTCTATTTTCTCTCCAGCAGAACACCTACTTCACCAATCACCTCAATTCTTTCTTCAGTTCTTTTCCATGCTGAACAGAGACACAAAGATACTCTCATTTGTAATCTGCTTTTGTAGTCCACTTGCTCATATCTACGTGTAGCAGTAAGAGAATTCCTATACCCTTTGGAATAAGGCATGTAGATAATAATACAGAATATATCAGAATATATAAATTTTTAAGGCAGGTCATGTTTATCACTTGTTTCAAGAAAGATATCAGTAACCTAGTTGCCAGAGCCCTTTTTTTTTTTTTTTCAACTATTAAACCACTGGCAGAAGGCGTAAGCACTTTTGCTCTCCTGATATCTAACTATACCAAAATCCACCTCCAATGCTTCCAGATAAGCTTTCAAATCATTTTCAGAATGAGTACGCTAAAAACATACCCAACCACTATTGGAGCAGCACCAGATAAAGCAAACAGCATTATAGTCACATTGAGTTATTTAAATGAATCATTTTTACACTAGATTTTAAACTTTTGCTACTCTACCATGTGACTCACTTTTTTCTTTTTTTAAACGACTACTTTTCCTTTTAGAAGATTAGATGGATCAAGTTCAAGCTACCCGAGAGACCCAGTTTCACTGTCCTGACACTGAGGTTTCCAGCTAGCATCGCAGTATTTTCAAACAGATCCCTGTCAGTGCTGATGGGTCACCATTACAGGCACAGGCTCACAGCCAGGCATAGCCCAGGAAACGCAACATCCACAATTCCATCAGGTAGAGCTCAGCCAGTCTAAACGTGGCACCAAAAGGCATTTCTCCCAGCTGTGGTGCTCCAGCTGCTAATGGTTCATCAGGCTGCCTCCAGCTTCTCCAGTCCTTTCCCTTGAGGCCCCTGGAAAGGCTTCTTGCTGCTTCACCAAATCTCTGCTGCCTCCGTGAAGCTGAAGAACTTTTCCTTAAGCCTTCATGTTTTTCCTGGCTTCTGATTTATTTGTTTTTAAACATTGAAATGGAATCAATTAAAACATTTGTGGCCAACATATTTACGAAACTTTTCACTCAATGCCAAACTCAGACAGCGCTGGAGAATTTTCATTCAGATTCCATTTCTATTTCAGAGTGTTGACCAATACAAAATGCCAGTTTTTCATATTATTGTAATAGAAACAAGACAGAGTAAATTGGATTAACTTAATGATAAATGAAAATTGCTAATATTATGTTTTGGGGGCTGATCCACACTTTGCAAGTAAATTTGAAAGCAACTCATTAGAGACTGAAAATGTGGAGAATAATTTTTAAAGTTTACACGTGTTGTGCAAACATTTTGGTAAGATAATCAGGTTTTTTCCTTCTCTCTACATTGTTTTTAATGGATGTCTATAATAAGCAAAAGAAGATTTTTAGCATTCTCTCTGTTGTAACGTAGTCATATATTTGAGTTTGTAGTAATTTCACTGAGGCAGGCTACAGCTATGTGCTGTGATCACATGATGTGTGCATAGCACATGTATATGTCCTATGGATAGATCACCCTCATCTTTTAAGCTTATGCCTGTAAAACCTGAGGAAAACAATACAGAAGCACTGAAAATGCCACGGCTGGCAAAACCCAGGAGGCACAACCTGGGTCCACATCAGCCAGACTGCCAAGGCTCCGGCAAGGGACAGCCACAATGGCTGAAAACACTGCTCACCCCCAGGGAAGCCTGCATGGAGTGGCTGAAACGCAACTGCAGAAAGATTTGAGTAGGTTTCTGTCACTATGCATAATGCTACTTTAGATAGTTGAAGAATTTCATAAAATAAAACAGAAAAAAATAATAATAAAAAAATCAAGACAAGTAGAAAAGGTGATGGAAAAAAAATATCAAGAGAATATTTCCTGTTGGAATAGCCTGCTTTCACTGTGATGTCAGAACAACTTTCCAGTCTGTGTTTCTACAAGACAAATCCTTTGCTACGAGAAACCAAGTAACACACCGTACCTTTCTCTGCCCTGTGTGTGTCATGCTTTTCAAGTAGGAGGTAACGGGGACTTTCAGGAAGGAATGGCAAAATCACGACTTGAATCAGCGATGGAACAATAATCATTCCAAATAAGTACGGCCATCGAGATTCCTACAAAACAGATGCAAACGTGGCATTTAGTAATACTCTCCATAAGGAAATTGAAAAGAAAAATATCTGTGATGGGAAACATTAGCTTTTCCTCATTCAATACACTGCATCTGTGAGAAAAACAATATTTTGTTTCGCAGCTTAGTGAACAGTTTGAAAGTTTCTTCCTCAGACCTCGTCACTCGAGGGCTGAGGAAGGGACGATTTAGGTCATCAGTTGGCTGAGCATCATGAAAGAAAGAAGCAGGAGAACTGAAATCAGCAATGAATTGCACGCTTTCCCTTTCCTTCAGTACCTACATGGAAATCACCCACGAACAGTCAATGCATTTCATGTATATACATCCCACAAGCCATCTCCAAAATTTGTATACAATTAACTATAGTTCTTAGTCTAAGCTAATAGGGATGAGAATGTTCTAGCTGCTCGTAGGAACAAGTTGCCACAAAACTTAAGGACCAAGCAACACTCAAAAGTGGCGCCAGTCCACACAGCAGCCATTACCTGTGGTTAGCCCTGATAACTTAACATTTTTAAGGGATATCAGGCCTCACCCTTTAGTTCCAAAACCAATTTCTATCTTCTTTAGAAACTGGACTGAAAACAGAGATCATCCCACATATACCTCTGGCAGGACTCATGGCTGGCCATGTATTGGGCTGCCCCTGCTCTTTCTGTCTACCCCTCCATAAGGGAAGAAGCAATTTAGGGTTGTGTGGTAAATGTGGACACACAATTGAATAGAAGGATAATGTAAGCCAGCAAATGCAGAGAAAAAAGTCTTAAGAACGTAACTTATTAAAACCAGGTTATAGTTAGCAGAACCATGTCTCACAGTATAATCATTTGAAACAAATATGTTTATTGCTCAGCCACTCTCCATCATTTTTGAGAGGTCATGGAGGGCAGAGGAGGTACTGGAGGACTGGAAGAAAGCTAACGTCACTCCAGTCCTCAAAAAAGGCAAGAGAGAGGACCAGGAAACTATAGGCTGGTCAGCCTCACCTCCATCCCTGGAAAGGTGATGGAGCAGCTTGTCCTAGAGACCATCTCTAGATATGTCAAGGAAAAGATGGTGATCAGGAGCAGTCAGCATGGATTTACCAAGGGGAAGTTGTGTTTGACGAGCCCGACAGCCTTCTACAATGAGGTGACTGGCTGGATGGACGATGAGAGAGCTGTAGATGTTGTCTACCTTGACTTCAGCAAGGCTTTTGACTCCGTCTCCCACAACATCCTCATAGGGAAGCTCAGGAAGCGTGGACTGGACGAGTGGACAGTGAGGTGGATTGAGGACTGGCTGAATGGCAGAGCCCAGAGCGTGGTGATAAACGGGGCCGAGTCTAGTTGGAGGCCTGTGGCAGTGGTGTCCCGCAAGGGTCAGTACTGGGCCCGGTGCTCTTCAACTTGTTCATCAGTGACTTGGACGAGGGCACAGAGTACATCCTCTGCAAGTCTGCAGATGACAGCAAACTGGGAGGAATGGCCAACACTCCCGAGGGCTGTGCTGCCATTCAGAGAGACCTAGACAGGATGGAGAGTGGGGCAGAGAGGAACCTCATGAGGTTCAACAAGGACAAGTGCAGGGTTCTGCACCTGGGGAGGAATAATCCCAGGAACCAGTACAGATTAGGGGTTGACCTACTGGAAAGCAGCTCCGCAGAGAGCAATTTGGGAGTCCTGGTTGACAAGCTAACCATGAGGCAGCAATGTGCCCTCATGGCCAAGACCACCACTGGGATCCTGGCCTGCACCAGGAGGAGCGTTGCCAGCAGGTTGAGGGAGGTGATCCTGTCCCCCTACTCCGCTCTTGTAAGGCCGCACCTGGAGTATCTGGGCTCCCCAGTAGGTTGAGGGAGGTGATCCTGTCCCCCTGCTCAGCTCTTGTAAGGCCGCACCTGGAGTATTCTGGGCTCCCCAGTAAAAGAAGGACATTGAACTTCTAGAGAGGGTGTGGAGCCACAATGATGATTAAGGGACTGCAGCATCTACCTTATGAGGAAAGACTAAGTGAGCTGGGCCTGTTTAGTCTGGAGAAGAGAAGGCTGAGAGGAGACTTGATCAACATGTTCACGTACCTGAGGGATGATTGTAGGGAGGATGGGGCCAGCCTCTTATCCGTGGTGGCTGGTGACAGGATGAGGGGTAACGGGAGTAAGTTGAAACATAGGAAGTTTAATCTCCATATGAGGAAGAACTTCTATACTGTGAGGGTGACAGATCCTCTGGAGATCTTCCAAACCCGCCTGGATGCAACCCTGTGCCATGTGCTCTAGGTGTCCCTGCTGGAGCATGACGGGTGGGACTAGATGATCTCTAGAGCTCCCTTCCACCCTCAACTGTTCTGTGATTTTGTGAAATACAAAAAATTACCTGAGAGAACAGGGTCTAAAGTGCAGAGAAGGGCTATATTGCCTAGGAAGCACACCAGGTTACCGAGAAACAGGACAGGCCTTGCTCATGCTGCAACCCACTCCAAACCCAGGGAGAGGTCAGGCCTCAGAGAAGTCCTTTGGTTTTATGTCAGTGTAACCATGAAAGGTGTGGTCTCCTCACAGGCTTAGCCAACCTCACCATGAGTTCAAACCACACACTGGCTCCCAAGTCCACGACATTGAAAGCATTTTCCTAATTTTCCTAAAATGTACTCCCCAGAAAAGGGCCTAAAATATGACAATAAGTTACTATATCCCAAGCAACACAACACACACCATCTTGACAAGCCTATGAACAAAAGCCTGTCTTACACAGACAAAAACCCCACTTCAGTTTACTGAGAAGCATACAGGGCTGAACTCCTCAAGACCCATGATAGGATTCCAAGTGACCACTATCAGTTTTCAGACAGAATCTGCCTTTCGCTATTTCCTCTGAATCAACTGAAGCTAAATTGTTAACACCCTCAAATATATTAATTATTTAAAACTAGCAACAGATGAAAACCTGAGGAAAACTATTTCAGGAAAAGACTGGGAAAGACAGTAGAGAGATTTCAGCTGCCACACTAGATTTACTCCAAAAGCAAAATACTTACTGCTGAAAGGGAAAGGAGTCAGCGGTATTATTTGCTCAAGCAAAACAGACCTTGATCTCTCTGGGTCCTTAAGATCCCTTCTGCTCCGATTCCTTAATGCCAGGAGGAACTTCCTCAGTAATTCTGTCCTTCCGTTCATCATTCATCTATTTAATTTAAGACTTCATTCTTAATTGAAAAGCTTGCTGAGACTTCAGTGGCTCTGCCGCTCAGCCACAGCGTCTAGCACATTTTCAGAAGCTTGGCTAGATCAAAAGCAGATTGAAATCTGAAAGGCACAGGGGATTTGGCTCCAATCTCTCCAGCAGAATACATCACTCTCTTTAGATCACATATTTCCCTAAACAAGGCTGGATAATTTTCCATAGTAAATCAATATCAGAACCCTTCAGGACTGCTTCTTGTCAATGGCTTTTATTTTACATGCTCCCACTTTAGTGACGGAATACTTAGAACATACCGCACAATTACATAAGCCAAGCCCAGAATTAGAAGTGGGACCTAAGGTAAGTTAATTCACAGGCAGAATACAAGAGCTATGTTCTAAACAAAACTTTCAGTTGTCCTTTAAGTAATGGGAAAGGGGAAAGGGGAAACGGGAAAGGGGAAAGGGTTTTTTTTGAGTACTGTTAAAGTAGATGTTACTATGCCAGAAAAGTATTTGCTAAAATGAAGAAAATGAAATTTACTGGAATAATTAAAAAGCTGGAAAAGAAACTGCCCTGGGGGAAAAAGCCAAAAGCCAATACATGGTACTGACAATTGAACTATTGGACTAAAAGGAGTTCAACAATCTATTTAAGCACAGGTCACATTTAATATTTTCACCAATTAGGAAGATTGTATTGATAAAATTTGGAGACAGTTTCCATGTAGAAAGGCTAAAATTATCTTAAGAGAACTGAATCTTGGACAGGGTTGTACGACAGCAGTGGGAGGAAGGGTTGCACTACCTTGTACAAGGGCACTCATTTTACAAAGAACTAGTGAAGCCAATTAAATATCCCAGTACCAAATGTAGAACAGGATTAAAAAAGAGTGAATAAGGGAAAAAAAACAACTGCCGGTTTCTGCAGGGAGTGCGCTATTTTCAATAATATTTTTACAAATATTTTTTTTAAAGCGTAACCTGGAAATGCATCCCTTTCCAGTAGGGTACTTCCAGAGCGTTTCTGAGCTCCAAGATGCAAGTGTTGCAGGTGTGGGCAGGCAGAGGGAGTACCCATGACCCAAGTGCTGCACCAGCAGCTCCAGCACTGCCACGTAGCCCAGAGTAGCAGCAATGTTGCCTGATGTCAAGGACTCACTTAGCTTTACTGCTCAAAACTTCCAGAAGACTACATTAAAATAATATATAATTTCAGATAGATACCTAGATACCACTATAGATGGATGCCTAGATACCACTAGATAGATGCCTAGATACCACTCCATTCTTTTTCCTCATTCAACACACAGGACAAACCATAATCTCGGAGTGAGCAGATATTCAATACCTATTTATTAGTCACTATTCCACACTCCTTTAAATATTAATTCTGGAATTAATTCTTTGGGGATTTTATGGCAGTGCTTATTACAGCACTGAACAGTACAGGCATCGAGTAGTTTTCTGCACAATACTATTCTCATGTAGAGTGATACATATTCCTCATTTTATATATGGGGAACATGAAGAGATGAAAGTCCCTTTCATCCAGGACAAGAAAGTTATGACCTGAAACATCAGAGAACCAATGATCTAGCAGTCATTTGCTTTACGCATTCCTGTAAGGAGCAGACAGACTTTATAACTTCAGTTTGGAAAATATAATTACACACAAACATTTGTGAAGTGCCATTTCTAGATGCCCTGAAGCATCATTTGCTTCCCTCTGCAGCTCCAGAAAGAAACAGGTCTCTGGGGTTTTCTTTCCCACATTTGTCATTCCCATGAGAACATGTAAGATCCCCTAGGGCATCAAA